ATTGTCATGTTTGTATAGACTGTATAGAGTCACTCTTAGAGGATACAAAACTTAGATATATTTGTGTGTACTCTCACTTTCCCTTTTTCAATTATGATATCTGCAGCTGCAGATGGAGTGCAGATGGAGTTTCTGGAGCGCAGATGGAGTTCTGGAGCGCAGATGGAGTTCTGGAGCGCATGATGCAGCCATCTGCAGCAATGATTTCAGTTCTTCTGGAGGGCATAACCGCTGCGTTCTGTGCTCTCACCCGTTCCACTGCCGCCTGTTCCACTGCCGCCCCTTCACACTGCCGCCCCTTCCACTGCCGCCATTCCACTGCCGCCCATTCCACTGCCGCCCATTCCACTGCCGCCCATTCCACTGCCGCCCATTCCACTGCCGCCTCTTCCATGCCTGCGTGCCACACCAGTGGCCAGTGGCCATGCCTCCATCCGCTCACTGCTTGCGCCTAACTTTCCGCCAGCCAGTGCCTGCTTCTGCTGCGCCAAGCTTCTGAACGAATCAACTCGCCCCTCTTCTCAACGTGCCCCTCTTCTCAACGCGCCCCTCTTCTCAATGCACCCCTCTTCTCAGCACTCGACACGCCTCGTGCTTGCATTGCTTGCATTGTCTCCCTCCATCCTGCCCTCTTCACATACTCGTCTCAACCCGACGGGTGGTCATCGACTCCGCTCCGCCTGCAGCCGCTCTGCCTGCAGCCGCTCCGCCTGCAACTGCTCCCTCCCAACTGCACTCGTGATACGACTCGTTCCTACCATTACTGCCTCTTGCCTGCTTGCCTCCCGGCCTTCCTGTTCTCTTCCACGCAGCAACTCCGTGCATCTAGCCAAGCAACCACCGTGTCTGCAACCACCGTGCCTGCTACCTGCAATTACCTAGAAGCCCTCTCCACATGCCCTCAGTTGCACTCGCAACCATCAGCCGATCTGCGCACTGCTGCCCTGCGCACTGCGCACTGCTGCCCTGCGCATTGCGCACTGCTGCCCTGCGCACTGCACACTGCTGCCCTGCGCACTGCGCACTCGCAACTCCATCCTCGTGTTTTCCACCTCTGCCTTCTCCCTCTCACTCTCTCTCTCTCTCTCTCTCTCTCTCCTCTCTCTCTCTCTCTCTCTCTCTCTCTCTCTCTCTCTCTCTCTCTCTCCCTTCTCTTCTTTCCATGTCAATTCCGGCTCCCTGCTTTCGTCCCTTCGTCTTTCGCTCGGTCATTTTCTGGTCATGTTCTTTCACTTTGCTCGGGCTTGCATTTCGCTCCAACTCTGTCTCCGACGCTCTATTCAGTCGTTGGGTGTTGTCTGGGTTCCTTCCAAGTCATGCTTTTCTTCGTCGGTGATTTGCTTCTTGCTTCTTTCTGCCTTTGCTTCTTGCTTCTTCCTATCTTCCCATCTCGTCTTGGATTCTACTTCTCCACCTTCCTTCCTACACATTACAATAGCTGCCACGTGTAAGCAGCTCTGGAATATGTACCCTTTGCCAGATGGCTTGCTTTCAAAACTATGTGTTGCAAGAAGTACTTACAACGTGTGCTGGAGGGCCGGAGGGTTGCTAGGAGTGCTGCAGGGTTGCAGTCAGCGCTGGATGGTTCCAGTGAGTGCTGGCGGGTTGCTTGAAGCGCTACAGGGTTGTGACGCTGCAGGGTTGCTAGGGTTTGCAATGAGCAAAAGATTCCGAAGGTGGGCATACCTTTTCAATCCTTCTGTATTGCTAATTTGATCAGAATTACCACACTACCTCTTCTCAGTCTCGTGTTTCTAATTTGAGGAGAATTACCTCTACCCATTTTCAGTCCTGTATTGCCAATTTGATCAGAATTACTACCGTTAATACAGACATTTGCACACGACATGCCATGGCTTCCTGGCACATACACCAGATCCCAGTCTTCTTCTTACATAACTGTTGTAGCTACCAGACCAGAAGCTAGAGTCATCATTCTACTACTGCTACATTTCACAGCACGGATCAATACTTTACCAGCCACAAAATCTACCATGCTAACTGCCCTTTCTACATTGACATAGCTTGCTCCTATGCAATGCAATTCCGATTATTTTTTCAAGCAATAAAATCAGAAACCAGGAATTTAAATCCCCACTATCAGAATAATTGAATGAGGTAAAGTGAGAGTACACACAAATATATCTAAGTTTTGTATCCTCTAGAGGTAACTCTATACAGTCTATACAAACACGACAATACACATGTTTGACACACCCCTAGACTGCATAGGGGAATACCCTAAACAAGCAGCTCAGGGCGGCACTACTAGTCCAACCTCTGAGGCAAGGGTCTGAGCGACCGGTCAGAAGGAGTACAGACAAGGCAAGCACAAGAGCAGGGCGGCACTACTAGTCCAGCCACTGGGAGAGGACACAAGTCCAGTCTGAGTATACATATAAAGGACAGTACAAAGTCAAGGTCCTAGCAAGTGAGAGGCTACAGGAACTAGACCAAGCTGTACACAGTGCCGCTGATGATCTTTAGGCGCAAGCGCCTTCGTAAAGATATCAGCCGTGTTGGCACCTGAGGCCAAGTGTACTACGCGAGCCTGACGTCGCTGCTGTAGCTCACGCAGGAGGAAGTACCGCAGCTGAATGTGCTTCGCTCTGCCCTCGAGTCGAGGCTCCTGACACAGGAGGATCATGGCCCTGTTGTCAGCGAACAGGACCGGGGCAGAGCTAGGTCGCTCACCTAAGTCAGTGAGCAAGAAGGTCAGCCAGCGGAGCTCCTGTGCCGCCATGGCACCGGCGTAGATCTCAGCCTCACAGCTGGACTGTGCAACAGACGAGGAGCGAGTAGCTCTCCACGAGACGGCACCTGAGCCAAGGCTGAAGCAGTAGCCCTGGGTAGACCGGAGTGTCTCAGCGTCGTCTGCCCACGAAGCGTCTGTGTGCCCAGTAAGGACCGCTGGCCTGCGTCCTCCTAGCACTAACCCCATGCCCGATGTACTAGCAAGATAACGCAGAACCCTCTTAGCGGCAGACCAGTGCTGCGGTCGGTGTCTGCCTGTGGCCACAAAGCGAGCCAGGATGCTGAGAGGGTATGCGAGATCTGGGCGAGTGCAAGTCATCAGGTACATGAGGCAACCCACCAGCTCTGCGTAGGGGCCGCTGGGCTCTACCAACTCCTCAGGCACTGGAGCGGAGAGCCTGTGGTCTACAGGCAGAGGGGTGGGCTGTGCAGAGGAGAACTGAAGGCTGAACCTCTGAAGGACCTGGCGCACCAAGTGTGACTGAGTCAGGGTGATGGTGCGCGCAGCTCTGTCCCTGGAGATCTGCAAGCCAAGGTAACGGCGCAGTTCTCCAAGGTCAGTGCAGGTGTGTCTCTTCAGCAGCTCTGCCTTCACGGAGGCCAGCGCGTCCCTGTCTGCTGTGGCAAAGACCAGGTCGTCGACGTAAACGAGGATGTAGAACGGAGTCTGGCCAGCACGAACGAAGAGTGAAGGGTCTGCAGAAGACGGAAAGAACTGCAGGTCAGCAAGCGTAGCACGCAGAGTGTCGTGCCACTCACGGGGAGCCTGGCGCAGGCCGTAGACGGGGCGCCGCAGGAGCCACTGGGTCCCAGGAGGGAAGGTGCCAGTAAAGCCCGGAGGGCGGCGCAGGTAGACCTGCTCGTGTAGGCTGCCCTGAAGGAAGGCAGTGGAGAAGTCGAGAGTGAAGCTCGTAGTCACGCTGAGCAGCTAGGTGTAACAGAACCCGAAGAGTAGTCATCTTCGGGGTCGGAGCGAAAGTCTGGAAGAAGTCCACCCCTCGCGCTGACTGAAGCCTCTAGCCACATAGCGCGCCTTGAAGACAGGCGGCTCTCCAGGAGGGCGCTTCACCTTGAAGAGCCAGCGGCCATCGACTACGTTCACCCCAGGTGGGGGAACTGCGTCGACGAAGGTGCCGGTGGATCTCCAAGATGCCATCTCCTGCTCCATGGCAGCTATCCACTGCGAGGCCCAGGGTCCCGAAGTCGCCTCAGCGTAAGTGCGAGGGGTCGGGATGTCGAAAGCGTCTGGGTCACCCTCAGGGACTAGCAGCATGGAACAGAGATGGGGAGCAGCCTCGGAGAGGAAAGCAAGCTCGAACTGGCGGTCCTCCAGGACGTCACTGCCAAGGGCAGGAGCACCCCCGACAGACGGAGGACAGGCAGGGTCAGAGACCAGAGCGGTGGCGTAGTCAAGGCGGCGGGTAGAGGCGAAGTCAGCGACAGCAGCGACAAGAGCGTCAAGGCACGAGACTGGAACAGACGGGTCGGTAACGAGAGAGGCAAGGACCCGAGGAACGAGAGGACGAGCGGCACGAAGGTAGTCGGACAGCGGGGGGGCGCAACAACAAGGGAGGACGGAGGAGGCGACGGCAGAAGGGGAGGACGAGACGCGTGTGAACGAAGCAACATAGGGTGGGAGCGCAGGACAGGCGAGGCAGGACGAGCACGGGAGGGACGGTGAGACCAGACGTGCGATGGAGGAGTCGGGTCAGGAGACAGGGGAGGGGACACAGGAGGGGAACGGGGGGAGACGGGCCGGGGACGAGTCCGGCGGAGGGAAAACAGGGCCGTAGACAGGAAGAGGAGGAGACGGTCGGGGAGGAACCGACGCAGGGTCGGGGGACGGAAGGCCGAGCAGGCGAAGGGCGGACACCGGCGGGGACTGCTGCTGCGGCGGCACAACGGCGACACCTGGACCGCAAGCTGCTCCTCGGCTACCACCGGCACTCTCCACACCCGCACCCCCAGAGGGACCACCCTCAGGGCGACCGGGACGAGCACCCCCAGAGTCAGCGAACGGGGGCTGCGACTGCGGGCGGCGGCGGCGACGGCGACGGCTGCAGTGGCGGCAGGGACGGCGGAGGAGGGGACTGGGGAGGGGACACCTGGGGGGGCGGCCGGCGAGGACTGCACCGGAGGGCCACCAGAGTCAGAAGACTCCTCAACCGGGTCCACGGACGGAAGGGGGGTGACATGGGAGACACCAGAGGGGGCGGGACGGGGAGGAGGAGGAGGAGGGGCAGGGACTACCGGGGAAGGGGTGACCAGGAACAGGGGGGGGTAACCGGGGGACCACGGTGGGGGAAGCGGCGGTAGTAGGAGACGGACTCGTCAAAGGTGACGTCACGAGAGTGAAAGAAGCGGTGAGACGGCGGGTGGTAAAAGTGCCAGTCGGACGCGTCAAGGGGAAAACCGAGGAAGACGCAGGGAAGGGTGCGGGCAGTGAGCTTGTCCGTGCCGGAGGCACGGACGTGAGCAAGGCAGCCCCAGACGTGGAACGCAGACGCGTCACCAGGAGACCCAGTCCACAGACGGGTCGGCGAAACCTGCGGCTGCTGAGGGTGCGGCCACAGGTTAAGCTGGTGAGAAGCGTAGCGCACAGCGAACGGCCACAGAAAATGGGGTGCACCGGCATGGACCATGGAGGTGCGAGCGACCTCCATGACCAAGCCGATGCGTCGCTCAGCGACCCCATTCTGCTGTGGGGAGTCCGGTAGGGTGAACGTCTGGGTGATGCCCTCCGCACGACAAAAGCGACCAAGGACACCTGAGGCAAACTCGCCACCACGGTCTGAGTGAAGACGCAAGACAGGGAGACCGCGGTGGACACGCGCAGAGACAAGCCAGGGGATGAGGGCGCCAGGCACGTCGGCCTTGCGCTCCAGGGGAAAGACTGTGGTGTAACGAGTGAAGTCGTCGACAAGCACAAGGAAGTAGCGCTCGCGACGCGGCCCAGGGACGGGGGCGGGGCCCCAGACGTCCAGGTGCAGGGTCTGCAGCGGCGCGGCGGTAGGGGGGAACGAGGAGGAGTGAGGGGCACGGCGAAGCCGACCCTCGACACAAGGCGTGCAAGGTGGAGCTGGGGAGGAGGGAAACGCGGGGAGTGAACCTGGGAGACCAAGGACAAGACCGTGCTGGGACATGTGACGCAGACGCGGGAGCGCAGGGTGACCTAGGCGGTGGTGCCACAGGAGGGTCGGGTGAGTGAGGGAGCGACAGGAGCAGGCAGCAGCAACCTGGGTAGACACAGCCACCTGAGGGGGCGCTCCAGCCGGGGGGGCACGGTGTCCAGAGTGAACAGGCCGGACACCGGGTCCCGAGGGAACGTGGACAGGGGGGCACCAGTGGCGCCTCGGTACAGACAGCATACCGCTCGTGACCAGGGAACGTAGTGGTACGCCAAGGTCCTGGAGCAGCCGACACCAACTAGGTTCCTGGAAACGAGGGGATATGCAGACCTGTAAGAGAGCCCGAAGGAACCGCCGGACAGGGAAGGGTGGTGAACTGCGGGCGACTACCGGACCGCCGGAGGGGTCAGCAAGAGAAACGGCAACAGGAACAGGAAGCGGCGTCAGGGTGTGGAGTCGCGGAAGAAACACCGAGAGGCGCCAGAGTCCAAGGTGAAGGAAAGCGAAGCCGAGGGTCTGGCGACGGAACGACGCGGAAGCACCAAGACTACACAAAGCAGGGATCATATGCCTGACGCAGCAGGGGAGGCTAATCTAGGCACACCTACACTAGGCAACAATGAGTAATAAGTCGGAAGCACACTAGAGTCATCAGCATACATCACATGCAGAGCAGAAACAATGGCATCCATGTCCATATCAAAGATCTGAATCTGACGACTAAGCAAACTGTGCCAGTCCGGGAGGTCTGGCAACGGGCCGAAACGCT